CAACAGAGGGAAATGCCAAAAGGACAAACCAACCTAAGAAACATGGAAACGCAACAATAAGAGGTGAAAGACTCCGTGGTACTGAGGTCAATTTTTATTATTACCTCAAGCTGCTACAATTCTTTCCCTACTGTGTCTTTCCTTGCTGTTTTCTTTGGCTTATTTCAGTTCAGCAGGCTCTCTCTCAGCATGCACCACACTACAGGTCAAAATTTTGAGTCACTGTTTTCAATAATATAAAACAAGTTTGGTTACAAATACATGTGCAAACAATTCTAATATGATGCTAATGTTCTAGTTTTCAAACAATTTGTAGGCATTTACAGGATTCAAGATTTTTTCTATGATTAATAAATTTGTGATCATTCTAAAACAATGATTCTAAAAAATATACTGGCTGATATTATCCATTATCGGAATTTTAATTTAAATCAGTATTGGTCACAATTTTCATACTGATCCGACTTTCAATACTTTCAATTCTTTACATAAATAGGCTAACACTACATGGATACTGTATTTTGGCTATGGCTAACGCGACGATCGCTAGGCGGTATTGTAGGCTCACTGTTAATCTTCCTTTCTGAACATGCTGAATCAGGCCATGTTTAAATGTTTTATCGATATAAATTGATATACTGGTTTACATTAAAATCCACAGAGGCTGATTCAGTTAATTAGGCTGTTGGAATTTACATATCGTTGCTTTTAGAAGAAAACCTCGTATCTCCACTTTTGTTGTTTTTCAGTTTTTGATGTTTAAAAATGCCTGTTGCCATTTAGGCTGTGTTTAAATTTCATGAAGAATGGACCAAAAGAAACGTCCCAAAATGACTTGGAAAAATGTCCACTGACTTAGACTAAAAGTAAAGTAGGTTTATTCCTTTTCCTGTAAAGTTATCATTTTGGAGATACAAGGTTTTCTTCCAACAACAGCAATATTTTTCTTCAGTCCAGTAAACACTGGGTGATAAGGCTGCCCCATGTTTTTATTATTTCTGAAACAGTATTATTTTGGTATCAAGCACCACGATGCTACATTTGGTTTGGTACTGAAATCCAAGTTCAACAGCCTCTCCATAGCCCTGTCACACACACATGCATTCACACAGCACCATGACTTGGTCACAACCCTACAGGTCTGGGGCAAGTTTGCCTTCTTTACCATCCATTTCTTTCTGTTTTTTTGTCTTTCCCATCTCTCACTCCCTCACTCTATCCATCTAAAGATATCTGGAGAGCAGCCAATCCAGGAGTCAGAACAGACCAAGAGGGGAAAAGGCTCCATCTCCTGCCTTAACATCCCCTGGGTCATCAACTATCTGCAAATACAAGTTCCTTCTTTTTTGCCATCCTCATTCTACAACCTCCCCAGAGCTTAACCTAGCACACTTAAGAGCAACGCGCCTTGAGTGCCCTTTTGTCACATTACAGTGGTGAAGTGTTTACATAAAGTCTGTTTAAAATAGTAGAAGTAATGGGGCACTAAGTCAATTACCACTTCAACATAACTTCCTGTGAATGGACACACTTAAGATACTGTACATACAGTATGCAGAATGTCTGTGGGTGTTCCAGGAAAACTAGCCCTTCTGGGACATCCTATGAAATGCATTTAAGAATACAAGCATGGGGTATTTCCCAGGGTCTGGAAGCCAGAGGTCAGCCTGATATCAAAGGAAAAACAGTGCACAGTAGTATGCACTTTCAGGAAGAAATAAGCTTTCCTACTAAAAAAAGTGAAGAGAGAAACACATCTGGTCTCTTCTATTAGGAACTGTGATGTTCTCCTTTCTTTATCATTAATTATTTGAGGGTCTCCTGGGTAAATCTGTAAAATTAAGTGTTCTCTAATGTTTGGCCTGTGTTTGTTTTGTTTGGGTATTATTTACTGTTTACTTCACTTACTTTTTCTGTTTAAAAGAGAATTTCATCATTTTTATTTTAATTTCTGCATAATTTAATTGTTGAGATGTAAGTAAACTTATTAAGAGACGTCTGATGTGGAACTGCAGAAAAACTTCCCAACTACAACAAAATTTCTTCATAGTTGTGATGACAGAAAACAGGGGTCACAACTACAAAGCAAATATAGCCATTTTATTTACTATGCAAAATGACCAGTGAATCTACACTTTACATAGAAAAACATGTATAAAGTCATGCTGATAATGGTAAGATAGTGGTAAATCTGGGGAAAAAATCTTTAGGGACTTATTTAGCAGCATGTAACTCTACCATGAACCAATTTTAATAAATTCCTTTTAGGCCAAAGGCTTATATCAGCTATCATAAATGGCATCAGGGAATATCTGTAATAATTTTCTGTGACTGCTTACTGTAAAGTAGCTTTAAGAGACATTACAGGAGAAATCTACCAATTTTCCTAAATTTGTGCATAATTACATATTTAAGAAATAAACAAAATGATTCTGCGTGGTTTGATGTGAATCGTGCCGCACTAGAGAATGCTACCAAGTTATAATTACTCACAGCAGTGGTGACCGGAACCTAATTCTTAAGCACTTCTAAAAGCTCTCACAGAAAGTTCTTATGCAAAACAATTACGAATGATTATGCTACCTGACACTCGGGACGTGGTGATGGTTTTAAGAGAAGGTGATTCCACTCAAACCATCCTCCTCACTGTGTATGGGGTCAGTATAGACCTACATCCTCCAGCTGTTTTAAGCTTCTTAATTATTGACCTGATAGTGGAAATGTGCTTTTTTAACCGTTTAACTATTTTCTTGGAGCCATTTCCTGATTTGTGCAGCTTAACAACCTTTCGTCGTACATCACTACTGTATTTTCTGGTCTTTCTCATATTGATGAATGAATGAGGGAATTTGGCCTGTGTTTCATTAAAGTGTGACCATTTAAGGGGTCCTAAATGCTCAGGTGAATTTAAAAACAAAATATAAATGGGAATATACTTCAGTTAGATTTCACTCTTTAGAATTTAAGGGGTGCCAATAATTGTGGCACAAAGATTTCATAAAAATCTATTTTTCATGACAAGATTCAGATTTTTCTTTCAATCATTACAGCTAATATAAAGATTAGATATTTGGTAATATTTTGCATAAAAGATCAAAAGCGTAATAAAAAGAGTAATAAAAATATTTTTTACAGCTCATTTTGTTCATGATTATTTGTGGAGGGCACTGTGCATGGAGCAAAAAAAGGCAAAACATTCCCTAGAGAAAACTTTTTACAGATTTACCACTATTTTACCATTATCATTACATATAAAATCCAGAAAACACAAATAAGTTCATTGGTTGTTTTGGAGAGTAAAAAATTGGCTAAATTTAAGCTGCAGACATCATGACCCCTGGTTCCTATCACCACTGCAGTAAAGAAATGAGTCAGACTGTGTCTCTACAATGTAGCATTTCATATTAAACCACTCTGAATAACTCTTTACATCTAACCTACTGAATTATACAGAAAAAAGGGGGAAAGAGAGGACTTTTAAACACTTTAGATGTTTTGTTTCCATTCCCACCAGTGAGAACAATTCAGAGAGAGCAAGCTTCTCTAGAACAGTGCATTTTATATGACAATTCTCTGAGTGAGTTTGTTTAAAGATTTTAAAAAAAAATCTGATCAAAGGAATATTCCCTTTAATTATAGTGTTGGTGTTCATTCATAGTCCAGAGACCTTCAGCCCGAGAAACATACTATGCAAATAAATTATCATCTCTATTGTTCGCTTTCTCACATCTTCATTCATCATAACCTTACACCCTGCCTCTAAATCTGCCCTTCCTGCAGGCATGTACTATGTTTGGCCACTGCTGCTGATGTCTTTCACCATGGCACTGACCCCAAACTACTTCATTTTCTCTCTCTATCCTCTGTGTCCTGTGATGTCAGGAAACAACCTCAAAGTCTCCAGGGTAGAAAGAAATGCTTTCCTTTCTATTCACATGCCATTCTCAACAGCTCACAATATAGAGGCCATTGTACATATGCTGTTTCCATGTGGAACGCAACATTCAGCTTAAGAGTTTACTAGGCCCAAGAGAATATGTTGAGACACCAATACATACACACACACACACACACACACACACACACACCCCACATTCTATGAAACAAACATCTTGTTTCTACACTGATTGTCCATTTTATCAGCTCTATTTACCATATAGGTGCATTTTGTAGTTCTACAGTTAGACCTTATTATTGTTAATTTGTCAAAGAAATGTATTTAACTGTTTTCAAGGCAACATGCCCATGTTAAGGGGTAGTAAAGACATAATTACTTGCAAATCCAAGCAAAAATTTCACATTTTACACGTGTCAAAACAAAATGGGTATTTCACTCAATTGTTTGTGTATTTTCCCCATGTTCCTGTAAAAAAACGCAATAAATACCTGAATATGGATTTCCATATTCAAATACTGGCTACTGGTAATTTTTCCATGGACAGACAAAAAGCAAACAGTAGCACCACATTAAAAAAGACATATGAAAAGAAGGTAAAACTGACCGACATTTAACGAGCCAGCTGTCACTTTGTAGCTTATGCAGTTACTATAGTTACTGCTTGTTGTTTACAGACTCTACAGGTCCATGGTCCAGATCTGTATTAATTTTTCCAGACAACGTTTATAATATACTCGGAAAGGAGTCATGTGACATAATGTACCAAAATAACAATATACTTTCATGTCACTCATATTCATTACAGAGAACAACATATCAAACATATCAAACATAAAAAGACACCAAATGCATTTGAACTGTTTGCATCGGAAAGCCACAAAAAAGAAGTACAATACATACTGGCAGTGAAGGGCAAGGCAGTACAGAGTGAGCTTGAACTGCAGCGAGTGAGGGAGGACGCAAGCAATGCAGTAAAAACATGCAACATAAAACATTCTGGGTGAAATCCAGAAAACATTTAAAATAACAGCTTATAAAACCTGAACTAGAAGAAGACTAAGATGACAGGAAAAGCAAATCCAAGACAGTGTACTGAACTCACCAGTACAGTGTAGATGTGCAGACAGCGATATACAGGAGAGAAGTCCACCAAGTCCTGAGCACCTGGCACCTACAGCAGAGAGATTCACAACACAAATCACAACAACTCAAAGTCAATGTAATCACGTATTTTGTACATTTTCATTGAAATGAGGGCAGCAAACTGATCCTAGATCTGGACAGGGCCTCTACGTTTTATTTGATGGATTCACAATTGTAGGTATGTCACTGACATGTTACTTAATTTTGCATCATTCACTTGTCATACTTACGTACAGATAAATAATACTTCAGTGCAGCTGACCACAATTAAGTTTATAAAAATGAACAAATGTACCAATGGTATTTTAAATAAAAACATATTGAAGAAGACCAAAACGTCCCTTTAAGTACAGCGGAAGCTTTAGAATAGGTCATTCGATTAACCTTGTTACTCCTAGGTAGTCTTAACTGATAGCTGACTGTACTAAATTAATACTATTATAATAATATAATAATATTAATCTTTGCCATCAAGCTAGCCACAAAGAATAAGTTTTATTTTATCGTTGTCTGTTCTTCCACAATCTCAGATAAAACAACAGCATTGCAGTTTCGTTAAAACATTCAATAATTTTGTGTCAAAACAGGCAAGTTGCAGACCATTACAAGCCCTGAAAATATGTTGCCCGATTAATACAAATGCACAATCAGTACTCCAAACACGTGACTGGCTTTTAGCCAATTTATCAATTGCCTCTCAGTTCAAATCTGTTGCCTCTTACTTTTAAAATAGCAGTTTGATTCATGTTATTTAGTCAACTGATTTTGCATTTAAGGATTTAAAATGCCAGATCGATCCATTAAAGAGCAAATTATGTTTATATATTTATATAGTGACTTTCACTAATAATTTCACTAATATTGGAAACATGCTAGTGTATTTGTGTTCACACTGAGTTTAAAAAAAAAGATTACAGAAATTATAACTATAATGAATTATAACCCCTTTCTCCTACGTCTTGCATACAGTCTTGACCCCAATCTCTTGACGAATTCCGCCCTTGCAGAAAGGCATAACTCTCCAATGTTTTACCAAACCAATGGCAGCTAAACAATGCCAGCTTTCATGTGGTGCCCACAGAAAGGCAAGCCGGGACACTGAGAGGCAGTCGAGTTGCAGCTCCAGGGAGGAAGAGCAGCACTAAACAATAACACAGAACGAACCAAGGGAAAACAATCACACACGGGCACCAGTGCCAGCTCCACGGTGGGAAGAGTGTGGGGACAGCATGTACGAATGGCTTCCCCAGGGCACTCATTTCACGCTGAGGCTGAGGAACAGGAGAGGTAGAGAAGGTGGCACAGGGTCAAGGAGCAGCCACTGATTAGTGACCTTGAGCTTTGCTGTGTGCCAGGAAGCCCCAACACAGCCGAGAGGCAGGCAGATTAAAGGCTGGCACAGACTGAGAACTTCATAAGAAAGCGGCTTCGGGATCTTCAGGAAAGACTGTTGACGCACACGCAGGGAGAGGCGGAGCGAGAAGGAAAGGACTGAAAAGGTCAAAAGAGGGGCACTGAAGTCAAAACGTGGACGCTGCTGCAGGTCAACAACAGTATTAGAGGTCCCTTGGGTTACTGTGGAATGAACTAGTTACAGTAAAGAATGCTGATAGCGTGTTTGGGGTAGTTCCTATGAAGCAGTGGTTTCCACTGGTAAAGAGTTGAACAACACTGGGGGGAAAAAGTCACACTGAGATCTTTCATTGCTTTGCAAGGACTACTGCAACATTTGGAAAACAAAAACAATGTAACACTTTAAGCACTTTAGCAACGGATGGAAGTTTTAAGCCCCTTGGCAAATGGTTTAAAACCATTTTATCTGGACAATAAATGTTTTTGCTTAAAATTAGACAACATCAGAATAAATACCAATTTTAATGCAGTCAATTTTTTTTGTTTTCAAAATAGTTGATATCTGAGCTAATTAGAAGTACATCTATTTTAATTTAATGATCAATAAAACCAGGTATTTTATGACAACTACAATTAACCCCTTACATGGCCTGGACCCCACCAGCAGGCCCACAGTTTTAACATACCCTTCTATAACCTAAGAATAGCTCAAGCAGTTTGCACTGAAGTCCCTGTAGTTACTGAATAATAAGCCTTAGTATGTAATAAGTATGGGATTTTAAGGGCTTCAACATAAAGACCTTTTGAAGCATTAAACACACTGACACTCATAAAATCTCTATTTACTGCATTAATGTATTTACGCTATGTATTCATGTATTTATTCTATGCTTGCAATAGTTAGTTGACAAAATTGACTACAAGATTTATAAGCTTAGAAAAGCAAGATCCACAAGTCACAGCGCATTACAGTGCATGATATGCATAAGCGGTTACACAGTGACTCAGCAATGATTCACAAACTAAACTAAATTAAACTAAAGCAAACGAGTCTTCCGATCCTGCTGACAGTGGGTAAGTAAGTAACTAACCTATGTGGCTAACGTCAGCCCAATAAAGGTAATGTTAGGTTAGTTGTTGGTAAACAGAACAAATGTAAGAGATGAACATTACAGTAGTGTTAACCACTGTGTATTAAAAATAATGCTATTCTGAGGGAAACTTAAAACAATGAAGAGGTACAGCTCCTGACCAACACCACCCAGTTGTCCCAGGGAAGATAAAAATTTGTGCACAGGAAACAGTTGTTGGAAAAATTTGTTTTAGAATGCTTTCAGGTCAATGAAGTTCCACATGTTAAAGCTTAAAATCTGTAAAATATACAGTCATCAAATCACAAGCACATCATTCATTCATGCCAATCATAAACATAGTTAAATGCACCAAAATTCTATATGTATGATCAAATTACAATGGCATAATAATTAACAAACTATATATTGCCCTATCCTGGAGCATCACTGCACAGTTGGTGTTTTCTCTGCTCTACCACACCTGACCTAACTAAACAGCTCATTAAAAAGTGGATGTGCTAGTGCAGATTGGAAACCACTGCTTTAGGCCATTATGAAATCATAACACACCAGACACTAACATATGAGCCAAAACAACATGAGGTATGACACACTCTGAAACAGCATCTTCATATTTAAAACAAAGAGATGAAACTTCTGAATAAACATTTTTGTTTGTGCCTTGTTATTCTGATCACATGAGCCTTATGATGACAGGATGGTGTGCTGACCATCTGATAAACACAGTCTTTCTCCCTCGTCTTTGCGTCAGTGTTCCCTCAGCGTGCTACTATGGGAAGAAGCTGAAAGCTCATCCTCTGCCTGTCTGTCATTAGCAGCCACAGCTGGAGAGCACGTCTCACATGCTCCACACGTCCCTCACTCAAACCCTCCCCCCATCCCCCTGCCTCAAAGAAGAGGGGCAGCCCCAACAACTGACAAGGGAAGAGACCAAATGGGCCATTAAGAAAAGGAGGGGACACCAGTGGGTCTTAAGCAGAGAACACCTTCAGTTCCAGAGAAGAAGTAGAAAAAATATGTTCTTCAATCAGTCAATGTGTTAAATCAATCTAACTGCTATGCCTTCTTCAGTTCCTCTCTCTTTGCTGCCGCCATCACATTCACAGTTCCATCTGTGTAACAAGTGATTTCTACTATCAGGCTGTGTTCAGACGGCCAGTGCATATTTTACATGTAATCTCAAGGAAACCAACTTCAGAAAAGCACAGAGTGGCAGAGCAGTGGTGGAAGAATCAACAGCTGAATAAAAGGTACACTGGCTGAAATTAATGGAGGGCTGAAGCCTTACTGTTTAAGGTGACAGCACCGGTGTTAAAAAAAAAAATTAAGAAGAACAATAATTTAGCAGCAAGCAGAGGAATATTTTTAAAAACACGTTTTATCAGTCAAAGAAGCAGAGGGAAATCTGTAGTTCTTCTGTTGGATGAGTAACAGAGGCTGCCTCTTCAGATGTGAGCTAAAACTACAGCTGATGCTATACTAAGTGGTGCAACACTGGATGATGAGGACTCATCTTACACAACGTATTTTCTCCTCCCTGAACAATGTGCCAACACATTAGTTTGTAGAGTACTCATGCATATCCCTAACATGTATAAATTAGGGATTTTTACTGTGCTTCTCAGAGGACTGGCTTCTTGGCTGTGCATCTTAACAATAGTGTCACAGCTATCAATCAGAAGTGGTAACTGACTGTCGTTGCAATACGTTCAGGCAGAAAGCTCTGCTACTTTCCTTTTTACACACTAATATACTATTGACTAGCGAGCACGGTGCTGGCAGCAAAAACAAGTTGGACTGAAAAAAGATGCATTTGTAAATGTCATGCCAATTTTATTCCATAAAATCACACAATTCTGGGTACTCATCGACTGCAACCATCAGCAACTGTCGTTAAAGCTATTCCTTCCTTTTGATCTGATTGGTCAGCACAGCATAAACACTTAAGATGCAGGCTACTTGACTGCCTCAATGGCTATGTTCACACAGCAGGTAAAAGTGGCCCAAATCTGATTTTCTCACCAAATACGATTTTTTTGTTAGGCTGTTCACAATATCTTTTAAATTAGACCTATATGCGACATCTGTCTGAACAGATCACACTCCCAAACTGACCCACATTTGCAAAAGAACAATGCTTCACATGGCGCACATGGCGCACCAAGGGATAAACAATCAAAATGGAGTCAGCAGTTCCAGCCGCTCCTGCAGGCTTCAGTTTCTTCTTCTCCAGCATAAGAGGAGCTAATGAGAAGTTACGTGTTTGAGCTTACTGTAAAAAGGGCAAATTACTCGGCCACGACTGCTTCTTTTGTTAGCGTTCTTGGTTTCTTAAAACATTGCTTTCAGACTTTTAACTTTTGACTCTGCAGCCTCATTCTCCCATGGCCGCGTTTGGCCACTTCTTTCAAAATCTCTTCAAACACGGAGTGGTTTGGATAAGCGTCTTCTAAGTTTGTTGGTACAGAAACATCACCCCAAATGTTTCTGAGGTCCCCGCAGTACGAAATTACAACGAATGTATAATTGGATTGACGTAAACGTTGCTTGAATTCCGATTTGGCTGTTCAGAGTCACACTGCTGCATATGAAAGTGTCCCAAATGTCAGATTCAGTGAGTTTTTTGCTGTTCACACTGCCTCACAGATAACACATCTGTATCACATATGAAGAAAAAGATCGGATTTGGGCCACTTTTACCTGCTGTGTGAACTTTTTCCAACTCAGGGGTGCCCGAAGCACTCTGCAAAAAACACACAGCAGCATATCACGAGGCGCCCAGCACATAAAAAGCATGTTTGTGAACTACCTGTGTGTAATTCTGCCAAATCAAGAATTGCAGGGCCTCATTTTTATCACGGTCACTCACCTCATCATCTTCTTCATCCTCTACATCTAGTATCCCAGAATCCTGCTCTGAGAGTGGGCTGCCACCTGACCGATCCACCTCTGTGCCTGACCCTGCCTCCTTTCGTAATCGCCGTCCACCGCCTGTCCGCTGTTGGTGAGTGACATCACTGTCGCGAGAGCTCTGCACCTGTGCCTAGAAAATACACAAAATATAATACAACACTTCTAGTTTTAGGTGTTGCACAATTATTTTAAACGTTGTTTCTGAAAATGGATTGTTTTCTGCAAAATACTTGAACAATGAACATGACAAAATTTACACTGCCACCATAGTTAGAATATGTAAATCATCAAAGCAGTTGTTCATTCCTTGGCAAGAGTATGGGAAAAACTCACTGCATGGAGAGGAGTAATTACTGAGCTCTGAAGGCATTTAAAAGGAGACAAAGTCAGTCCCAAAGTTTCATTAACTGTCAACTTTTCCCAGGATGGCTCCAAACCAATAGAGACAATGGGCCTCATTCACCAATATCTTCCCAAGTTTTTCCTAAATTTGTTCTTGAGAAAGGTCCTAAGAAAAGGTCTGTCAGATTCAGGTTCTTAAACCAAAGAATTGTTTGCACCTTTGTGCTTGACTGTGTGTAGATTCTGTTCTTACCTAAGAACAAATCCCAAATAAGAAAACACTGGTGAATGTCGGATTCTTCGGGAAAACTGCGTAATTGGGAAGAAATTTCTTAAGAAAGGTTGGTGAATGAGGCTCATTGTCCTTAGGACTGTTCAAGTCTCTTGACCAAAAAAAGAAAAAGAAAAAATCTCCCTTCTCCATCTATACCTAAAAAGGACATGCACTAAAGTATATAACACATAAAAAGGACAAAGCACCAAACAGTGGCTAGATGCAAAATGTGAAGAGACAAGGTTTTACTTCGACAGAGCACAACTCTCTTAACGATGACCACCGAACGTCAAGGCCAACGTCAATGCCCACGTCAGTTGTTTTGTGAACACACAAGACTAATTACGAAGTTCTCTAAAGACTGTTTTGGGGGGGAGCTTCAAGTATGGAGAGCCCTCAAATCATTGTCTGTAGGAAAACAAAAAGGACCCCAAGTAAAAATAGGTGAATCACATAAGGTTGTACGTTAGGAACATAACACACTATAGAGGGTGAATGGATGGGCTTTGTGGGACTATTCCACGCAGAGACGAAGAACATCATCATCACAGCACTTCAGCATCTGAACAACAAGAGTAACTGGACTTGCTACGTGTCTCTTGTTCTTCCAGAGGCAAGTAAAGGTGTGCACGTCAGAGACATCTTTGAGGGGGAAAGAGAGGAAATGGGGAGAAATTCCTTCCCATGAAGGAGCCAACAGAAGAGCAGCAGCATCAAGAGGCCCAGGAGAAGAATCAGACTGTAGAGAACAGCTTAATTAGGCACAATGTCTTTAAAGTGCGGGTGGGAAAAATATTTATGACAGCACACCAAATAAACAGAGAAAAGTACTGGACAAAACTGTAACACTTTTAATAGTTGGTTTGTCTCAGACATCTCCTTTGTCTGCTAATAAAGTTTAATGTCTGACCTCATTTAATTTATCATAATTCTCAAGTTATGTGACGGCAACCATTTAGGGCCCTGGTTCCGCTAATTCAGGAGTGTCCAATCTTATCCACAGAGGGCCGGAGTGGCTGCAGGTTTTCACTCCAACAAAGCAGGAGGTCACCTGATGAAATGTTTGAACACTAATACTGACTGATTAAACAAGTAGAAACCAGGTGTGCTCAAGGTTGTTTGGAGTGAAAACCTGCAGCCACACCAGCCCTTTGCCGATCGGATTGGACACCCCTGTGCTAAATGCTTGCTTTCGCCCTAGTACGGGTGGGCAACATGCCAAAATGTATGGGTCTCATTTTAAATGAAGTCAGATTATGTCAGAATATGCTTTTCTGAGCACATCATGGATTAGAGGTCTACCCGCAGGACCCACCGAAATATCTTACATATATTCAGTGTTGCATGGCAGCCAGCCAGCGTAGGCAAGAGGACAATATATATTTGAATTTCTATATATATCTAACATCTAACAAAAAAAAAAAAAAAGTAATATTTTAATACTTCTAATAAAACAGAAACTCAAAAATTTAGTTCTGAATAGAAGCAAACAAACAACCGCGACCTGCTTTCTTGTAGGATACAGACATGGCCTAAGGCAGTCATTTTCTACTGTGAGACATATACACACACACACACATACACACACACACAATGATGTGTGACATGATCCTCTTTTGGTAGTTTTCTCTCCACAAATACTAAATCCTGATAAAACTAAAAAAGAAGAGATATACAAATAATAGTTTGTATTTGTCAGAAGTAAACTATTTAGACAGGTGCAAGGTCATGACCGGGTCAGATGCACTACTCAAGTAGAAATGATGACCAACATTTACCTCATTCATTACACTGCGCTGAGTGGATCAGTAGTCCTGTTACAGTAGACAAGGGACTGTGATGAAGAAGCATGACATCACTATAATGTCCTCATATGTGAGGTCTGTGTGTACGCGTGTGTTCGGTAACCAGATACAGGTAATCAATCTTCTTCTACAGTACTTCACAGGCACCACAATGTGTTTCTCATTAATGTATGTGCACTAGGCAGGGCTGGGGGGAGTCCCAAGTATTGGCCACTAGACCTTCTGTAATGCACCAACAGCAACTGTAAAGACCATAAAGAAAACTTAAGTTGAACCAAAGATGAAGGAAAAGAAAAAGAAAAAAAAGGAAGAGTGAGAATACATGCGGGACCAAGTGGAAGAATTAAAAGAAAATGAATAGGGAGAGATTTACTGTACTGTAATGTGCAAAAGTCAGAGATCACCCTTCATTTATTTAATTTCTAATCAAAAAAGCCATTGTGTACAGCATCAGGCAAAAAATATATATATATGTATAAACATATACACACACACACACAAAAAGAAACAAGAAATTACACTGAAGCCTCTACAACTAAGCATAATGTCTTTTTTAGTATTGAGTGTAGTTACTCTTTGCCCCCTTCAGCTTCTATTGTTTTCAAGAGAGTTGGTTTTAGCTTTTCAAAGAAATCTGCCAATCCACATAATCTCAAACACATTTTTTTCAGATCTGAAGCAAGAGTGGAGCTTGTTTTTCTCTTATCTCTCAAAGATAAAAGTACTGTTTATCTGAAAGGTTTGGTCTATCACGTCTTGCACAGTTGTCACATTTTCTCTCTATCAAATTTTTTAACTCCAGTTTTTGAAACATCTTTAAAATAATAATAATAATAATAATAATCTTTTGACTTGCCCCTTTCTTATGTAGTCTCCATCTATATGAATAACTTGTTCTTAATGGCCACTTTGACTGAAATTAGGGGATAAAAATGGTCTCTGACTTTGCACAATGCTGAATACTGGTAATGTAAACTGAGGAAATCAACTGAAAAGCGCAAAGAAGATGCAAAGAGGAAAACAGACACTGAGCAAAATTAAGAGGGGAGAAGCATGATGTCCATACAACACTCCTTAACACTACCTCCTCTTCTTTCACAAGAACCCTTCCACACATACACATGCAGTATGCCTGATGGCATACAATGGAGCCATTATTACAGTAGCAGATAGCCCAATACATTTATTTTCAGACCATTTGTTAGTGGAATTAAAACAATCACAGGCGCAGGGACTGGGCCTAATTTCCAGTGGAATGGGAAGCAGTCAGTGAGCCTGGATCACAGAGCCCCTAGACAAACAGCCTCCTGCTATTAGCGGTCTGCTCACCCTTCTGGAGTCAAGGATGGAAGAATGGAAAGTGGTGGCGGTGAGGGAGGAGGTGCTTTTTAAGCTCAAGAGAAGTCATCTCTGGGGAACAGACCTGATAATCCTAGGGTGAACTACTGCTTTGGTGCTACTGCTTTCTCTCATTTAGAGACAGAACTACTAAACTGTACAGGCGGAGTGACTCGCATGATCTTAAAACGAGATGACAAGTAACTGGGCTACTACCATCGACTGACGTGAATACAAAAGCAGTAAACGGCAGCAAATTGACAGAAAAAAAGGAATGAGAAAACTTCTGATTACATAATAAAAATGATCACTCTTCCTCAAATCTGAACTTCATAGTGTCAAGGTCACTCTTCACAAAGCCACCAGAAAGAGAAAACCTGGAACGAAAGAAGAGGTATCCACTGTATCCAAGTAAGAAAAGTCTGTGTGTGTGTGTGTGTGTGTGTGTGTATATATATATACATATATACATATATACATATATATATATATATATATATATATATATATATATATATATATGTATATATATGTGTATATATATATATATATATATATATATATATACATATATATATATATATATATATATATATATATATATATACACACATATATATATACATATATAAATATATATATATATATATATATATATATATATATATATATATATATATATATGCGGGAAAAAATTGATTCTTAGATGCATCGCGATGCGGACGTGAACGATTCTGAATCGATTCAATGTCAAAAATAGATTTTCTAAATATTTAATTCATAACGTAATGTTGACGGAACGCAAAAGGCGGAACTTGGAAGTGCTGGAAGTGCAGCGCCCAGACAGTCTGTGGCGGCACATAACAAAAACACAACTGGATGAGCGAGAAATCCAATCGGCTCCCTCTGCATTAAAGCCAGGTTAGATCAGGAGTCACAACCCAAATGTTAACATTTTGTCCTTTCAACATAAATCAAACCACCTTGGGAGTGGCAACATTTAATGTCCATTATGTCTCAGTATGTGATAATGTCCTAGTATAGACTAAACAATAGAAACGAAAACGCAGATTCACTTTGCTCTGCTTTAAGCTTTAGCTGAGCTATAGCCGCTTACCTCCCATCTCCGCCAGAAATAAATTTCCTCAGAAGTAGATCAGTTTCTTGTAAAATTCTTCTTGTTCGAATTTACCCGTTCCACCTTAAATTCTGACTGAGGCGCCGAATGTAAATGCGGCACCATTTAAGGTGGAACGGGAGAATTCAAAAGAGAAGCTGATTTCAGCTTCGCCACTTTTTAGTGTTTGACAGTCTCTCGTTGCAGATTTAACATACCAGGAAACTGCGCTGCTTATAAATGTGAATAACGCA